GAGGTGGGCGGGAGGGGCGGTGCGCTGGGCTGCTGGGGGACGGGGGGTGCGGCGGAGGGGGGGTAGGGCGGTGCGTGGGGGGGGTGCGGACGACGCCGAAATAAAGTGGTCGCCGCGGAGGGGGGGCGGTGCGTCTTGGGCGGTGGTGATGGGGAGGGGGGGCGGCGGGGAGGTGATGAGGCGGTGGGGGTGGGGTGAGGGCGGTGTGCTACGGGGGGGTGAGGGCGGTGCGACACGACGCCGAAATAAATTGGTCGCGGCGGTATTGGGGAAACGGAGGGGGGCGGTGCGCTGGGCTGCTGGGAGGGGTGACGCGGCGGGTGGTGGTTTGAGGGGGTTGGACGGGGGGTGAGGGCGGTGCCGACTACGCCGAAGAAATATAGTGGTCGCGGCGGCGGGGGCGGGTGCCGCTGGGGGCTGGGGGACGGGGGGGGGAGCGGGAGGTGATGGAGGCGGTCGGGGGTTTTTATTTGTGGGGCGGTGCTACGGGGGGTGTTTGAGGGCGGTGCGACTGACGCCGAAATAAAATGGTCGCGGCGGTGGGCGCGGTTGCGTGGGTCGTTGCGTGGGCTGGTGCTGGGGAAGTGGAGGGCGGGGGGGGGGATGGCGGTGGGCCAGGGGAGGGGGGGGGCGGTGACGGACGACCGCCGAAATAATGTGGTCGCGGCGGGGGAAACGATGCGCTGGGGCGGTGAGGGAGGGGGAGGGCGGCGTGAGGTGATGAGGTTGGGGGGGGTGTGTTAGGGCGGTGGGGCGGTGGTACGGGGGGTGGGGGGCGGTGCGACGACGCCGAAATAAAATGGTCGCGGCGGAGGGAGCGGTGCGCTGGGTTGCTGGGGAAGGGGAGGGGCGGGGGGGGGGATGGCGGTGGGCCAGGGGAGGGGGGGCGGTGCGACGACGCCGAAACAAAGTGGTCGGAGGGAGCGGTGCGCTGGGCTGCTGGGGACGGGGGAGGGGGCGGGGAGGGGGTCAGGGCGGTGCGACGGGGGGGGGCGGTGCGACGACGCCGAAATAAAGTGGTCGAGGCGGAGGGGGCGGTGCGGTGCGGTCGGGGTGGTGCGACGCTGACATGAAATCAACGCGTGAAGGCGGTGCGACGACGCCGAAATAAAGTGGCCGGAGCTCTGGACACCCTGTGCAAGAGAAAAACATGCGAGGAAGTCTCGGGCGGGAGACGGGGTCCTGGCTAAATTGTGCGGAAGTCTCAAGCGGGAGTTGTTGTTGTTGTTGTTGTTGTAACCCGGGGGCAAACAACGCAGTTTGAGGACGAAGGTTTTCCGTGATAACAAACCGGGTGCGAGCGCCGGGAGGGGCACTTCACTTGAAAACGTACAATGTGCACCGCAAAGAGGGATCAACAATCATTTTTCTTCGGTAATGAGAGTGCAGCAGCACCACAAAAAAAAAAAAAAACAATCAGCGGATGGTTTGAAAAGTAGTGATATGGATATTGAAATCGATTGTGAAATCGATAATGGACTCGAAAGTGAGGACGATTGTACGGTCGATCGTGAGACCAACAGTGCACAAGATCCGATGAGATCGATAGTGAGATCGATCGTGAGATCACTCGTGCGATCGATAGTGAGATCGATTGTGAAATCGATAGTGCGATCGATTGTTAGATCGAAGGAAAAATGGGTAATGAGATCGATGGTGAAACCGATCGAGAAGAAGATCGACCCGGGAACCCGGGAACCCCGCCCCCACCGAAATCGGCGGGGAACCCGGAACCGGGAACCCAAGAACCTGGAACCGGGAACCCGGGAACCCGGCCGCCTCCCCAAACCTGTCCGGAACTTTCGCCAGATCCTTCAATATCCGCTAGGACCCCTTCAGTGCAAGCACTGGTTGGGGAACAACAGCAACAACAACAGCAGCAGCAACAACAGCAGCAGCAACAAACACAACAACAACAACAACAACAACAACAACAACAACAACAACAACAACGACGACGACGACGACAACAACAACAACAACAACAACAACAACAACAACAACAACAACAACAACAACAACGACAACAACAACAACAACAATTACTAGCACGTGGGGACACACCGTTCTCACCAGTGCCAGGGTTTTCATAGGAGGCGGGCAATACCCCCACTTTGTGGGGGGGCCGGTTCAAGCTCTACCAAATTTCCAAACGACTCTTCGCCACCACCCACACCCAGCTTCCCGCCCTATGACGTTCGGACACTTCACTTCGTGGCATGCGGACGACCGTGGCTACTATTCAGGGCCCCGCGGCCGACGACGACGGCGTGCGCGCGCGAAGAAAAAACGAATGTGTCCCGCATGGTATTATTTGACAGGGATGATGGCCCTGGCAGGTGCGCAACCGTTGTCGCAGAAGTTCGAAAAAGTTGCTCGCAAAAGCCCGTTTGACAGAAATGTTTAAAAAGTGTTGGGTTTCCTACGAATCCGCAAGAGCGCGCGGGATGAATTTTGACATTTTTTTTTGAAAAACCATTGGTTTTTTGATGTTTTATGTTAAAATCGCTACGAACACTAAGGTTTTGGAAGGATTTCGTCTTGCGCGCGCGAATGTCCACTTTACCTTATTTTTTGCAAGGGATTCTTGAAGTTTGGTTATGTTAGAACAAGAAATGTCCACTTTAGCTTATTTTTTGCAAGGGAAAACGGGATCGTAACAAAACAACCGGATCCGGACCAACCCGTTTTGCCTGAGACTTCCTCACGAAAATGATGAAAATGTGGCTGCGGCCTAGGCGCGGCGGGGGGGTCGTGCACCAGGGGCCCCAACAATAATTATTCTTTAGAAATAATAATGTTCAACAACAACAACAACAACAACAACAGCAGCAACAACAACAACAACGACGACAACAACGACAACAACAACAACAACAGCAACAGCAACTTCAACAACAACAACAACGACAACAACAACAACGACAACAACGACAACAGCAACAGCAACTTCAGCAACAACAGCAACAACAGCAGCAACAGCAACGGCAACAACGGCAGCCACAACACCAGCAACAGCAACAGCAACGGCAACGATCATTCTAAGAGTGTTCGCTCTTATCTGCGCGCGTGCCATCCAACACGTCTATCCCAAACCCTCGATACCCCGCCCTCCTCGCCGTCGATCCTATGCACTTGGGTGTATATCTCTCTTACCTGCAGCCTGTACTTCATGCAGCCCTGGATTGCAAAAAAAAAAAACAGGATTGCAAAAAAAACGAAGGATTGCAAACGAGGGTTTTTTTGCAATCCTTCGTTCAAACGAGGGTTTTTTGCAATCCTTCGTTTTTTGCAATCCTTCGGTTTTTTGTGCAATCCTACAGCAGGTGAAGACAGGAAAAAGGAACAAGGTGGAGGGAGGAGAATGGAGCACGAGAGAGAAACTACGGTGCATCGACAAAATGTTGCACCACCTGGTGATGTCAAGAAAGCAAGCCGATTTTGCAATGGATGTTCGCTTCCACCCCCCCCTCCCCCCAATCTTAACATTGGCTGCGGTCCCGGGTTCATCGAAACGGCTCGGTGGTGCAACATTCTGTCGCGAGCCCTGGGGGTGCGCCAAGGGACCTTTGCCATGTGCCCAATATTAAGATCAGGGGGAGGGGGGGGGAGGAGCAATCCAATACAGCTGACAATGCGCGGCAAAAGTGGTGCAACATTTCGTAGACGTACGGTAGCAGGAGGGGGGCCAGGAGCAGAAAGCACGTGGCAGAACCAGACGGGCAGATCGGGCGGGCAGACCCCAACAGGCGGGTCGGGAAGGCAGGGCCCAGGCGGCCGGGTCGAGCAGATTCGATTGCGGAAGCGTGCGTCCTGCATGAATCTCGCGGGGCTCGAGCGACAGCGCGACTCCCGAGGGAATCGTGAGATAGGCGAAAGCGACAGCGCGATTCCTCAGTATCGAGGGCGCGGCGTGTGAATAAACTACAGTAAAAGAAAGCCCCCCCGCCCCGGCCTTGGCAAGGCAATCTCAGCTGCGAAAGGAGGGGGGGGGCAGCTTCCGAGGCCCCACCCTTTGAAAGGTGAGCCTGGGCCAGCCTTGGGCTCCGGAGAAAGAGAAGGGGAGGGGCAGCTTTGAAGCCCTCCCCCCTTGGCAAAGCACTCTCAGCTGCGAAAAAAATGGGTATAGCTTCCGAAGCACCCCCCCCCCTTTTGAAAGGGAAGCCCGGGTTAACCTTTGGTCCTGGAACACGGAGGAGGGGGGGTGTAGCTCCCAAGCCCCCGCCTTTAGCTAGGGCCCCCCCAACTAGAAAATGCCCACAAAAGGGGAAAAGGGGGGTGGGTTGCTTCGGAAGCCCCCCCCCTCCTACCCCCCCCCTCCTTCTCCAAGGGAGGGGGGGGGGGAGCTTGAAGCTGGGGCCCCCCTTTGAATGAGAAGTGCTCCACAGGCGCGCTCTTTCAGACCTCCGGAGCTACTGGAGATCGTTACGCCAGCCCGCTGGGGGCACCGCGACGTTGCCAAAACACACTGCCAGTGGATTCATCATGCGCTCCAAGACCACGGTGTACTCCAGGTTGCTGCACGTGCTCAGTCAATTCATGTCTTTAGCAAAAAAAATGTTGCCTACAACGGACACTGCCTGTGACAGAACAGCGCCTATCGTCAAGGGTGGGCCCCCGTCCGACATCGGCGGCAGCGCGAACTCGTCAAATAACACTGTACACACTTATCGAGTTGCGTGTATGTGCAATGCACACATATCAATATCTTGAACACAGGCAACGAAGTTATCCACTGTGTCACTGCCCATTCACCTCCGTAGTACTGCGATGAATAATCGCATTGTGCGCAATCCTCATCTTCATCAGGATCTCCTTCAGCCTCCTCCTCCTCCTCCTCGCTATCATCATGAACATTACCACTGGCAGCATCATGCTCGTCCTCCTCGCCCCCCGCCTCCTCATCCACTTCCCCCCCGCACCTCGACCTCCGCCTCCCCCCTTCCCCACCCCCCTCCCTCCTCCCCCCTCCCCCCTCCGCGGGCCGACCGGGGGCGTGCCTTCTGGATCTGGTTGGCCAGCTCGCGCGTGGGCGCCAGGATCAGGGCCTGGCATGCCTCGCGCGGGAGGGAGCCGGGAGGGGGGGGGGGGGTACAGTCGGGCTGCTGAAAGAAAAAACGCAAAATGAGGAACGAAGCCCCTTCTTGGCCCTGTAAGCGCCTCCGTGCCCCAGGAGGGCAAGAGGAACAACACTGGAGGAACCTAAGGAACATCGAGCCCCGTCCGAACCCAAACTGTTCCTTATTTCAGCGTCTTTACTCTAAGGGTCTAAGCAAGCGTCCAGGAGCACACCGTTTTCAAGTTGACTTGCCAACAGCCGTGCAGGTTCGCACGACCATGTTGTGTGTCAGGACCTTCGGAGAAAAAAGGCTGCCTCTCAGTGGCGGCCTTGCAGAAAGGTTTCCTTCGTGGCGGCATTACAAACGGATTTCTTTTGCGGCGGACTTACAAAAGGAGTTCCTTCTGTGATGGAAACAATAGGGAATCACGAAAATAAAGAAACAACAACAAACATCACGTGGAATTGTTAAACTTGTTATGTGTTCAACGGTTTCATGCCCGAGGCTGAAAACATATGAAAACACAACGTTTTCAACAATCGAAGCTCCTAAACACGGTAAGCACAGCGTTGTCAGCAATCGGGGCTCCGAAACATTGTGCAACACAACGTATTCAGCAATCGGAGCTCCGACACACTATAAAACACATAGTTGTTAGCAATCGGAGCTTCGAACCGCTGTTTTTCAATGCGTTTGGCCTCGGACGTTAACAACATGGTAAGCACAGTGCGCCGACGGGCTTGCAACACGATTCTATTTGCGACGGCCTTACACCAGGATTTCCTTCTACAACGGCCTTGCAAAAGGATTTCCTGCTGTGGCGGCATTGCGCAAGGATTTCCTTCAGTGGCACCTTTACAAAAGGATGTCCTGTATGGCGACCTTGCAAAAGGATGTCCTTTTTATGGCGACCTTACACAAGGATTGTTGGTGCGACTGTCTTACAAGAATGAGTCCATTTGCCACGGCCTTGCGGAAGGATTCTCCTTGCAACAGCCTTACAAGCGGATTCCTCGCGTGGCGCATTACAACACAATCATATGGCGTGGCGGCCTTGCAAACCGATTCCTGTCGTGGCGACCTTACAGCGGATTTCCCTGTGTGATAGACAAACATGAACAAAGGCACATATGAATCCCAATGAACGTGTTTGAACTGTTGCGTTGCGGTTCACATGGAGCCCGCGGCTGGAAAAAAAATGAAACACACAGCGTTGGCAACGCTCGGAGCCCACAAATAACAAGTACAGCAAAACACAGTGTGTTCAGAAATCGGGGCTCCGAAACTGTGTAGAACACAACGGTTTCGGCAGTCGGAGCTCCCATTCGCAATACAACATACACGTTTCAACAATCGGAGCTTCGAAACGCTGCGCTTTACAATGCGTTTGGCCGCGATGTGAACAATAGTGTAAGTCACAACGCTTCGGAACTCCGATTGATGGAAAACAATGTGCTTTACATAGTTTCGGGGCCCCGATGGCTGAACACGCTATGGTTTACCGTGTCTGGAAGCTCCGATTGCCGACAATGCTGCATTCACATGTGTTCAGCCTCGGGCGCAAAAAGCACTGAGACACACAACAGCTTTCAATATTTCATTGGATGTCATGGTGCCTGCTTGTTCCCAGTCATATTGTGATGTCGGTTCGTCGTTCTGGGGGGGACAGCGCCCCACGTTCCTCTCCGTTCCTCCTTGTCCCCCCCCCCTCCCTCTTCTCATCGCCGCCTCACACTGCAACAGTCAACGATCTCGGCACCACTACTACTACTACTACTACTACTACTACTACTACTACTACTACTACTACTACTACTACTACTACTACTACTACTACTACTACTACTACTACTATACTACTACTTACTACTACTACTACTACTACTACTACTACTACTACTACTACTACTACTACTACTACTACTACTATGCTGCTGCTGCTGCTGCTGTTGCTGCTGCTGCTGCTGCTCCTACTACTACTACTACTACTACTACTACTACTCTACTACTACTACTAAACTACTACTACTACTACTACTACTACTACTATACTACTACTACTACTACTATACTACTACTACTACTACTACTACTACTACTACTACTACTACTACTACTACTACTACTACTACTACTACCTACTACTACTACTACTACCACGACTACGACTACGACTACTACTTTACTTACTACTACTACTACTACTACTACTACTACTACTACTACTACTACTACTACTACTACTACTACTACTACTACAACTACTACTACTACTACTACTACTACTACTACTACTACTACTACTACTACTACTACTACTACTATTACTAACACTACTGCTACTACTACTACTACTACTACTACTACTACTACTACAACTACTACTACGAACTACTACGACTACTACTACTACTACCGCCGTTTGCGAAATAAACGTCCACGTGTGGAAGTACCAAGAGCCCCGCCCCGCGCCCCGCATTTCAATGTTGGCCACCAAACACGCCGAAGGGGAGTGCGAAGCGTTGCGAAATAAACGCCCACTTATGTTGGACTGCCCAGCCCTCCCCGTCAACCTTGAAAGACGGGGGAAAGGGGGCGTGCTTCGTCGTCTTGTTTTCGATCCCCAAGATGGGCGTTTATTTCGAAAACGGCGGTACCCCCCACGAGCGTCTTATAGTGACACAGCGCTGTACATATATATATATATGTATTCCCATAATCATATGTTGTACGTGTATATATATATATACGTGTATACATAAGTGTGTATGTACAACCTATTTACACATCCATATGCCTTTCCCCTACGTACGCATACACCCATGCATACACGTACGTGCATGCATGCATTCACGCCGCCACGCAATGCGAGGTTTTTTTCACGCGACGCTACCCGTGCGGAATCGCCCAGTGGCGACACAACGCTGATGACCCCTCTTACTCTCCCCTGCAGCTTCCGTCCACTCTGCCCTGTCTACCTCGCCTCGCACTTCTACCCCTTCGAGGCGTCATTTCCGCGCAAAGACGATGGATGCGCTGCCGGGCGCCGCGCGCGCGCGCGCGTAACCCGACTGGGCGGCGCCAGCGGCGTGCTAAAGCTTGGAGGCGCGCGCGCGCAGACCAACTGGACTTGGCCAGCGGCACCCGCGCGCGCGTGCTCACGGGAGTGCAAAAGCTGACAGGCGGGCGCTCGCAAACCAAGTGGACTTGGCCAGCGGCGCCAGCACGCGCGCGCTTCCGGAAGTGCAAGAGCTGAGAGGCGAGCGTGCGCAACCCAACTGGACTTCGCCAGCGGTAACCGCGCGCGCACCCTCGCGAGCATGCAGAAGACGCGGGGCGGAGCGCTGGGGGGAAGCCCCCGGCGCTGCCCGCGCGCCCCCTCAAGGCGAAACCGGAGAGCCGATGTGCCCAAGAAGTCTGCGCTTCTGGAGCGGGAGCAGCAAGGCCCGCGAATTCAGACGGACCCAGTCCGCGGGGAGCACCTCGTCCACGGCAACCGCACCCGTCGCGCGGATAGCCGCCAGCAAGGCGTCTGCCTGCGCGCGGGGTGTGCGCGCGTCGGACATGAGGTCGTCGAAGCGTCGAAGCCGCTCACAGGCGGCGCGCCCGCGTCTGCCGCGGCCGGCGCAGCGGGCGCCGGGCGGAGGACGCCGACGGCGTCGAACTTTGCCGCCCCCCGGACGATCCACGCGGTCATGCACGGAGCACACGAGAGTACGTCCTGCAAAGAGCCGTCCGACAAGACGGAGGTGAATGGGAAATGCCTCGCGCGGTTCTGCATGTGCCGGATGTCCTCCGCACCCACCTTATTCGTCGTCTCCCAGAGGCCCTCCAGCTTGCCCGTGTAAACGGCGCCGTGGTCCCAGCGGACGTCCTTGTTCCCGTCGTTGAAGGACTGGGAAACCTGGATCTCGGCGTGCTGGCCGACGAACAGAAACAAGAACAAAGAGACGGGGGCGGTCTTCTCGCGGGCGAACTCAACCGGCCGTAAGTCGCCCCAGAAGATGACACGCTTCGTGCCGCTGGCCAGGTTCCGGAGTCCAGAGGAGGAGCCCAAGGCAGGCTTGTGCAGAACCCGTTTCGGAGTGAACAAGTCGTCGAAAGGGTAAACCACCCTGCTCTTCCTGGAATTCGACGGCCCCACCAGGAAGGGCGACCGGTTGTTACTGTGGCCCGTTGGGTGTTAGCGTGGCCCGTTGGGCGTTAGCGCGGCCCGTCGCGCGGCGGGATGGGAGTTACTGTGGCCCGCGCAGGCCGCTCAATGAAAAGTAATATGTAAAGGTATCTCGTGTTAGATCTGGAGGGATTCGACACCCTTAAGGGAATGCACTCCCGCGCAAGCAAAAGTGGCCACAGTAACTCCCGCCTGGAACCAACGTGGTAGTAGTGCTGTGTTAATGGTGTGGTGGTCGCTGTGCTGTGTTAGAGGTGAAGTGATGGTAATGTTGTGTTAATGGTGTGGTGTTAGTAGTGGCTGGTTGTGCTCTATGCTGTGTTAGTGGTGTGGTGTTGGTAGTGGTGTGCTGTGTTAGTGGTGTGGTGTTGGTAGTGTTGTGTTAGTGGTTGATGCTGTGGTGGTGGTGTTGTGGTAGCGGTGTTGTGGTGTTGTGGTTGTGGTATTGTGGTTGCGGTGTTGTGGTGTTGTGGTAGCGGTGTTGTGGTGTTGTGGCACTGGTATTGTGGTAGTGGTGCTGTAGCGTTGTAGTACTATGGTGCTGTGGTGCTGGTGTTAGGCAATATCATTCATAGGGAGTACTAGTCCTACGGCGTACTAGCCCACCGGGCCGCAGTAACAACCAACGGGCCGCAGTAAATATCTCCCAGGAAGGGCGCCCTCGTCGTTTTCTTCGGGCCGACCATCAGAATGTCCCGCAGAGACGCCGCGAGCTCCCGAACGTCGAAAAAAGCGGCGCTGCGGGAGAAGATGGCCTCCACGGCTGACCTGCACGAGCACGCCGGGCCATGGGGGCATGTCTCCTCAGCGCAGCGGCGCACGAGCGCCCAATCGTCCACCGCCTCGAAGGCCGCGTTCTCGCGGGCAAACGCCCACTCCTTCGTCTCCTCCAGGTCCGCCGTCAGCTTGCGCACTCGGCTGCGGACGAACCGCTGCATGGCCTTCGCCCCGCGGTCCTGGACGCGCGCCATCAGGCTGTCCTTCGTCCACAAGTGCTTGGCGATGATGGTCGAAGTCAAGTCTACGAGGTCGAACGTCGTCATCGCGCCCGTCGCCCCGGCCGCCTTGTCCGTGGCCTCCCGGCGCTTCGCCCACGCGCCTGCCACGCATGGCCCCTGCGACATCTCGAAGAGGTCGATGGCGTCGTTCTCGCGCGCGAACCCGGCCCAGTCTGGCTGCCACGCCCACGGGGCGTCGTCGACATCTGGTTTGGCTGGGGTCTCCATGCGCCCGTGCCTCGCGGCGCCCCACATTCGCCGGTGGGAACCAGAGAAATGGCTCGGCAACAAATGGCGCTCACGCAGAGCGCGCGTGGCCTGCTGGAAACGGCCCGACCTGGTCAGCTTCACAGCAGCGTGGAAATGGATCGCGCCGTCTTTGTGCTTCTCCTGGAACACCACCGCCATGGACACGAGCGCTTGGCCGCCCGGCGCCTTCCTAGGGCGGCCGCCCGCGGGCCCAGTCGGAATCGGATTGTTGAATGCGTCGGCCACTGCTTTTCCGATGTCCTCCCGGCTCATCGTGCCAAGATCGCGGCACTGGCGGCCGTCGGGAAGGGTCGCGTCCAGGACGCGCGATATGGTCTCCAAGTAGACCCACTGCAACGAGTTCGGCTTCTCGGCCTCAGCCAACACGGTCTCCAGAGGCGACGCGTCGTCCTGGTCGGGCTGCGTTTCCGAAACGACCTCGGTTGTCAGGCTCTTGTACTCGTGCTTGCGTTGGTCCAAAGCATGCTCTTGCAAACCGAGTTTCAAAGCGACCTGGCGGCGACACTCACGCAAAGAAATGCGTTTCAAGTCCTTTCCTACTGAGACGGCCCCCACGGCGCCCCGGATGGTTTTGGTCTCGACGGCCTCGGCACCCACGCCTGCGGACGGGACTGGGGGAGACGGCACCACGTACCCCGTGTCCGCATTCTGCCGCAAGCGGCGCCTCGGCATAGAGGGGTCTGTGGGCATTGCAGCGCACGGTACTCCCAGTGACAGGCGCCAAGGTCCGCGCGGTTCCCCCTATAAGACTTGAGCCACAGGGCAGCTGCAGTGGCTTTAAGCACCAATGGCCATGAGCACCGCGAGGGCTGCGAGCACCACCTCAAAGCCTGAGAGCACCTCAGAGCCCATTAAGTAAGAACGGCTTGAGCCGAAGCGCCTGTGGGCGCTACAAGGCTGGCGATCACCGCAACAGCCTCAGAGCACCACAGAACTCGAAAGGACCTCAGAGCGCCGCAACAGCTACAGAGCACCACAGGACGTGAGTCTCAACGTGCCTGCGAGCACCGACTGGTCAGAGGAAGGGGGAGGGAGGGGGAGGGAAAGGTATGCACACCAACTGGACATCGACGACATTCCCAAGACAACCCAAACAAACGCTGGAACTGCCAAATGGCCCAAGATTGCCCCAAAACCTGCATGGGTCGGAGCGGGAAAACCGATGCAATTTGTCCCTAGAGTGCGAGCGAGGCCGATTCCCTGCCCCCCTGAATCCACCGCACTCCGAGGGCTCTGGAAGCGGGGGGCGGAGGGGTGGAGAGGACTTGGGGGTTCTGGAGGGTTCTGGAGGTTTTGGGAAGCCCTCCGAAAGTTTAAAAGGATTTGGGAGGGTCCCGGAGGATTTGGGAGCACTGCGAGGGTTTCGGATACATGGGGAGTTGTGGAGGTTTTGGGGGGAACGCGGAGGGGTTAGAAGGTAGGGGAGGTTTCTAAAGGGTTTGGAGGTTTTGGGAAGTCTTCCAAAAAGTTTACGGGGTGTGGGAGGGTTCCGGAGGATTTGGGAGCAGTGCGAGCGAGGGTTTCGGATGCATGGGGTGGGGGGTGGGGGGAGTGCGGAGGGGTTAGGGGGTATATGGGAGTGTTCTAGAGGGTTCTGGAGGTTTTGGGAAGTCTTCCGAAAATTTAAAGGGGTTGGGAGGGTTCCGGAGGATTTGGGAGCAGTGCGAGGGTTTCACGGCGCGGAGCTTGACGGCCGTGAGTTGGGCTTGCGGCCGCGAGTCTCCGCTAAACCACGCCTGTGCGTGGCGCCCCGGAAGCCCGGCGGACGGTCGTCAAATCCGGCCCAGTCTCGTCGAGGGACTCACGGGTCCGACTGACGAGGTCGCTTATCTCCACCGGGGTCTTCCCGAGAAGCAGCGGTCGAGCTCCCTCTTGCTGAGGTGGGGCGCCATCGTGGCCCGCGATCGAAAAAGGGGTCAGATGGCCTCGGGGCGGGGCGAGGCCGTTGCTGCGGTGACGATTGAGCCGAAACAGCTGCGCCAGGTGAACGGAAGGCTT